TCGCTGTTGGGCATCACAAATACCTAAACGTACTTCACTGATTCCAGTTTCCTGCTTCTGGGTTTATTTGATTATTTTTCAGACGTCCAAACAACCGATAACATTTCCCAGTGAAATCTGGTAAGAGTGAGTTCTGCAACGCTGGAAGGTAACTAGAGAGAGGCGGTTTGAGACATGCTCGTTTTGTACACCTGTTTACTCACTTCTGAATTCTGCCCCTGCAGCTATTTATCATGGGTAGTCTTCAGCCTGCCAACCAAGCTCTGCTTACTTGGTTTACATTCAGTCCAATGTGTAACTTCTGGTGGAATCAGCAGAAACTCAGTGCTTTCCCCACACTCCATGATTTTAACTCTTTCCTACAGTATATCCTGCCTCACCATCCTGTCAAGATCCAAGTCTCAGTCATGGTTGTAAGTTGGACAGCTGGCATAAAGGTCCCACCTTCATGTTACATCCCACCTTCATGTTGTAGATGTTAAGATGACATATGACCGACGTCTATTCAACCTTGTCTGGTGCTCATGTATGTTTTAAACAAATGTTTTTTATGGCCCCTTGCTGCTCTGGCTCCATACATAAATTATGAATTATCAGTTTGTGTTGAAAAAACTGGGTGTAAAGAAATGTATGAACACACAATGGAGAGAGTGGGAAGAACAAAGTAATCTTTCAAACAATCTATCAGCATTACTTATTCATTAGTATTTTGAATACAACTAAAAAAAGGTAAGAGTATACACAGGGGACACTGATCATGACGCCTTCAGTAAGTCTCGTTCATTGTCTGCTTGGAGTCAAATTTTGTTACCATTTCTTGATGAAAGAAGATCTTTTTTTCTCTTGCAGTAGTATCGGTGTTGTATAATTAATTCCATTCCAACTTGAATGGAGGCAGCATGTTTTTCCCATTGCTACTTCATGATGTTTGCTGTTGTGCCTTAACAGTACGTATGACAGGAAATGTTAAATATTCCTCTGTCCCTTTTAAATAATGTATTTCCCATGATTGTGATCATGTATGTTGAGTTAGCAAAGGTGTGTTGGTGAGTGAGTGTGGATGTGTATACATAGGTAGAATATAGACCACACTGAATATGCATGCGTTTCAGATGCACGGACAGAGTGCAGTATAAGTGACCGTGTAAGTGTGTAAGTGGATAGAAGCTTGTCAGATTGCATATGTGCTTGTTAATCAAAACGTGAACCCATCGTGGACAGCACGCTCCGTCTCAGGTTGAGAACGATCGCATAATTTATTTACTGTGTCCTCTCTCTCTAGCTCTTTTTCAGAGACAGAAAAACTAAGAAAGGAACGTTTGACAGTGTGTTTCTCACAGGATGTTGATATTTGAGCTTTTGATAGTCAGGTTAACGATAACTTAAACTTTGAAAAAAAACCCGATATATTAGATCCATACTTTGTGTTAGTTCTCATTCGGCTCAACTTGATATTTTAAATAATATGTTAATAATATGCATATATGGCACAACTGCCATTTTGACATTGGTGATCTGTATTTCTTCAACTACACAGGTGAGGTGTGACTGAGGTGCAACAATCATTCATGAATATCAGCACATAAACAAACCCGATTGGAATTCATTTTATTTAAAAGCAGCTGATATTGAGTTGTTGTGGCTGTTGTGTCTTGATCTTTTCACCTGGTAATGGGATGTATATGTTGAAGTGGCACCTTATAAGCCTTTGGCCTGACTTGGTTCCCAGTGGCTGTTGGACTACTTTGGTTTAGTGGAGAATTGATTGAGAAGTGACAGACAATCCCATGAGGTTAAGTGCATCCTGACCTTTTGGTTTCAATGTTCAAGACAGCCTGACTCTATCTGAAGCCATCTCCTCATTTCAAATAAAGGCATTTTAGCCTTTATTTGAGAATACACAATGGAGGAAGACACATGACGCCCGATTTGAACCCAAGATGTTGCAATTCCTTTACTTAACCAACTCAGCTGTCAGGACGCTTCTTTTATGTCTTTTTGCAGATATTCCTTTATTTGTTTCAGTTTCTTCACTGCATGCTAATTAGTTCAGACACATTTGCTCACCTCAGTGATTCCCAAAGGCATAAATCCACAGCTGATGGGCTAATTGTGGTATCTTTAGCACTGTATCCTGAATAATTAGGTTGTATTGGTCTCACATTTTTAAATGTGACCCACCTTTAAAATCAGAGAGAGCATTCATTTTATCACACTGAGAGGGTGGTGTGGCCTCTCTTTACAGAGCTTTGCATATTCACATTGTAATTACTTTGGTCACGTTAGCCATTAGCTCCCATGACAATTCATTATTTATTCAAAGCTGTAGCTACAGTATATGTTCAAAGGAAAAGTAAGAATGCATTTCATCGCCCTTTTTACTTCTGTCCTACTGAGCAGCCATCTGAGTGACAGATTCGAACAAAGCTAATTTAATACATTAAATTACAATTGATCCTAAAAATGACATTAAGGACACATTACACTTTGACATCCAATGTGGAGATGACCTTTTAGAACTTAACTTATACAAATAACAGTAAAGTTAGTCCCAAATGTATCCTGAATCAGTAAAATACTACTACAAAACTAACTAAACTCTAGCGTAAGTTCAGTCAGGAGGACTATTCTTTTGCATGCGTAGGCCTGTAGTTTATCCCTCATATATCTGCTATTCACTCCTCTCACACATGCTAACTCATAATTTCCTTGCTGTCATTGTTTGGGCCTTTCAATATCAGCAGTTATGACCAGCTGGTCTCTTCTATCCAATAGCACAGCGACACATTTACACAGTTAGCCAATCATCTTGCTGCCGTCTCTTTTTAAAATATGATTATAACTTTACCTTTAGTACGTTAATATTGCTTTTACTCGCCCTTCCACCTCCCCATCTCTGCCCGGTTTTGTCAGATTCATCAACTCACTATTCTATCAGCCTCATGAGCGGTGGCTGGAGGTGATAAAGCAATGCTATTTGAAGAGCTGCACGTTGCAAGATAAATCTCCCCATGGAGTCCAGACACTGGAGGGGATGATCAGGGCAGACGCCCCTCGATTACAAATCTCGCTGTAGAGTCCAAGCGCCAAAGGCTCTGTCAAGACTTTATCATTGCATGTCATCTGTTATTAATATTACACAATTACCTTCTCTTTATCTAACTTGTCTCTCCTGATTGAAAAACTCATAGTCTACTGTTTTAGCAGCATACAGATACATCAACATTTGACTACCATTTAGTTTTAAGGAATGATGCATTATGTTATGCTGTGTCACTGCTAATTAAACTTCACAAGTAGAACATGTCATTAGTTTAGCAGGTATTTGGTCCCCAAGGTTTAAGAAATGTTCAATTTGAATGATTATGGTACTAGATGAAAAGTTATGGGATCACCAAGGTTATGATGATTCATCCTGAGAGGGACATGAACGTACGTAGCAGATTTCATGACAATACAGCCGATACATGTTAAGACCACAGTTCTCTTTGGATATGGAAACAAACAAATTGCACATTAATAATACATTTATTGTGAGTTTCTGAGGTGGTCTTCAGTTCTATTTCATGTGAACTGAATTAAATCTGATCCAGCACTGACTATCTGAAAGACTGTCCACTCCACTGGTTCATCCATCTGTAATTTTCAGACCAGTGGAGAGAGTCATGGTATCACAGAGATGTATGTATATATATAAATATACACAGACATTAAGAATTGATGGCAGAAACAAGTGGAGGTCCATTGGGTCACTAATGTTCTTGCTCCAGAGTTGGTGATGGTTCACTCCGGTCTGATGTGCGTCTGTGGACTGAGTCATTAGCAAAGACGCATCTCTTACCCAAACTAAATTGTTTGCATGTCTTTTCAGTGATTTCCTCGTTTCTGCATCTTACCGGCCTGAATAAAGATTCATCGTATTCATTTTGACTCATATTCCCGCCACCAGCCTCTTGAACTGATGCCTGCAGGATATCTGAGGCAGCTGGCACACACACACACTGAACTGTGACCACTCCAGTGGACAAACATGGAGATCATCCAACTTCAACCCTTTGACTCCTGCTTTGTCTCCTCTTTTTACATTTAAAGTCTGGACTTTAAGATCTAGTGTGTACATTATTGATGAAACATATTCTCCACAGATGAATGATTAAATTGACCTGCAGTAAATGTATAGCAATTCAAGTTACATGTTTTTTTTACACTCATCACCAATGAGATCTTTTGTTTCTAAGCTGAGCTTGTGTATGCTCTCTTTAATGTGTCTGCCTTAAACTTATTCATTTCTTAAATTCACTCAGCACTTCTTTATTGTTTCAAAGTATTGTTTGAAATTACTTAATTTGATGGAATTTCTCTTTGCTCGTCACACGTAAAAAGTTAACCACAGCTTTCATGTTAAGATAACATCTTAAAAGAAACATGCAGCGAATAACCCACCACGTGGTTTCTCATCTTGTCTTGATATATATATATTATTTTTAAGTCATTTAATATGTGCCCTATAGCAGTGTGTCAATCGTGACACGGTGGTACGGATCAGTTTTCTAAGCTTGGTTGCTTGTTGTTCACCATCAAGACAGACATCAGCTTCAAACATTGTATAAGGTCAAGGCCAACACCGTATTATTACTACTGTTACTATGGCTAAGAGTTGCTGAGTTGATTCAAATTGTGACCGTGGATATTTAGTTGCTCATCAGTTGTTCATCAAATCTTACGTTTCTTTATCAAATTATTATTATTATTATCTTTAAACTTTGAGTTCCATCTCTCATAGACATTTTTTTTGCATCCCGTAAGCCCCCAAAAAATAGCAGCTTTACGTAGACAGTAATAAAAACACTGACATTAGCCAGGTCCTTCTTTGTCATTGTCATTTTTAACACCAGTGAATCAGCTTCCCTTCCAATGACCTTCTTTCACATAACTGAAAAACAAGCATTTACAAAACAAACACGTTAAATCACTCAATATGTGTCTCAAATTGCCCTCCGTAGCCGTGACTCTTATCATTCTCTCCTACCTTGTCCCTTTCGCTCGAGCGTATCATTTCATAACGTTTTTGAAAGGGTGTATTTGTTGCTATGGTGTTGGCTGTTACTTAAAATTCAGAGGCAGAGTGAATATGCCGTTTCCATTTCTGTCTCTGCAACGACGAAACGAGCCTCGCTAGAGAAGAGCATGTATGAATGTCAAACACTTGACAATCCTGCCTTCCTCAAACACGCATATATTACGGTAAAGTAACTGTACTTTACACATACACACACACACACACACACAAATACAAACGTATAGCACACCACTTTCAAATATAATTGCATATATTGCGACACATACTGAATCTCAATAGTTTTGCAGTCTTTCTAAGTATTTTGCTGTACCACAGACACATTATATGGAAGCAGCAGCATACAGAATGACACAAAGATTAAGACGACATGTATTTCATGGCTTTTCATTTGCGCTGGATTAAATCCAGTCTCTCTTAGTTTGCTCTTTCCATACTGTTACATCTGCTTTTGTGTCCCTGTGACATGAAATAGACCTCAAATCTTCTTTCTATGTATTTTTAAGATGAGTTACACAATTCTTCGGGCTCAAGATTTTCTCTTTTTTAGCATGCATGCATAAATCTAAGGATATGCTATCTAAAGAGCTATGGCACAGAGCTGTTTGATATAAAAACAAAAATAGATCACAATTAGCATGTGTTCACAAGATGGGACATTTAAGTGTCAGTACTTCCGTTATCATTATCATCTAGTCCGCATGTAGTTTGCTCTTTTTCGCTTGCTGTTTTCCAAGAGAGTTTTAATAAGTTTTTTTTTCAGATGAACCGTCTGAATTTGATGAGTTTTTGGAAAGCCAGTTTGAACTCATCGTTGAATACGGTGTAGATAACAGGATTGATGAGGGAGTTCAGGTATCCCAGCCAGGTAAATATATCAAAAAGCACAGGATCAAACCAGCACTCTTTACATATGGCCATGACGAGCGTGCCCACAAAGAACGGGAGCCAACAGACGATGAAAGCGCCCAGGATGATGCCCAGTGTCTTGGTCGCTTTCCTCTCCCGAGCCGCACACAGACGTTTCCTCTCCAACACGCTGTCTGCCAGCTTCACTTTCACACTATTCATGAACAGAGGCGATCCTGCCCCTCCTCCTCCCCCACCTCCCGCATTGAGAGAGTGTAGGTGTGCTTCCTGGTTGGAGGCAGAATTAAGAGAACAGAGAGAGGAGGCCGCAGATGTCTGAATGAGCTGCGCTGTGGTGAAACGTTTCCCCGAGCACGATGGCGTCTTAAAGATGCGGGAGCGGGCGGCAACATAGATCCGTCCGTAGAGGATGATGAGAAGCACTGTGGGGACGTAGAAGGCGCCAAAGGTGGAGTATAGGGTGTAGGAGATCTGATCTGTATTCACCATGCACTCTGTCAGCTCCTCGTGGGCTTTGGCCTGCCGCCAGAAAAGTGGAGGCATGGAAATCGATATGGAGATCACCCACACCACCCCAACCATGATCGCCGCCCGGCGCATGGTGCGGCGTTTTGTGTACCCCAGCGCATCTGTGATGGCCCAGTAGCGGTCCAATGCGATCACACACAGGTGCAAGATAGAGGCCGTGCAGAAGGTGATGTCAGACGACAGCCAGATGTCACAAACAATCTGCCCCAGCGACCAGGTCTTGCTGACAGTGTAGACGATGCTGATCGGCATGACTAAAATAGACACCAGCAGGTCGGTGACGGCGAGGGAGCCGATCAGGAAGTTGGCCGGTGTGTGGAGCTTCCTGGTTAGAAAGATGGTGGCGATGACGAAGGCGTTTGAGAGCACGGTAGCCAGGGTGACGACAGCTAGTAGTGCAGACAGGGAGATCTGGAAGCCGAGTAGCGTGGCCTCGCTCCAGGGTGGAGGTGTAGTGTAGGGTGTCTCTGTGTAGTTGCTGGTAAAGTAGTCCAGAGAACTATTATCAAGCTCCATGTCGCCTCTGCTCCTTTTAAACCTTTCTCCCGGGTTTAAACCAGCCTCACCACGTCAGTTCAGGCATGGCACTGAACAGGCTGTACAGTGGCGTAGCACTGTTGGTTTTGTCAGTAGCAAATGCAGAAGCGTGTTTCATATTTACACCTTAATTTCATATCAACCTTCAGCAAACATCCAATTCCATCCACAGCTAATGTTCCTGTAATTGAAGCCGGCTAATTTGTCCATTTCGCCTCTCTAATATTGATTTCTCTTACTGGTGTAGCTGCAAGAGAGACGAATCCTAATTGGTATTCAGACAGGCACTCTTTTTCTCTCTTCCCAGTGCTCTTATCTCATCTCCAACCAGCAGCCAGCTAGCAACAGCACCTTCTGACTAAACTTTCTATTAAATACTTTAATGGGCTCCTCCTTTTCAGTGAAGCTAAGCGGGGAGCAGCGTGTAGGAAGATGTGACAACAGATATACAAGGTTCGCTCTGTTCTTTTTCAGGTTCCCGGTGTAAGAAATGCCAGTTGTAGCGTCCATACAACATAGCAAAAGTTTTGTCATGAAGCATCCTCTGCAGCATGTTCAACCTAGGGGAGACAAAGGAAAGTGAGAAATATGAAAGAAGATTAGTTATATTCAACTTTAGCATCATCCCCTCCCTCATACTGAACACATGAATACACAAACAAACCTCCCACATGAGAAAGCCCACACACAAGGGGCAATAAACTCAACCTCTAAATGGAACATTATGACTTGATACACGGACTTAACACCCACATCTCCAGCAGTTGTGTTGATTTATTACATTTGTTGTAAGACTGAAATCTCCAGGTTAGGTAAATATAAAACATTTCACCAAAAGTTAACCAGTCAAGTCATAACCAGTTTGCTTTGCTATTAATACTAGACTAATCACGACAGCTGGGCTTTACAAAGGTCTCAAATGTACATCAATTCTAAACATTAAAGCAAATAATACTAATAATATAATTTCAAATCATGGTGTAAATTAGTATTTTCTGACATAGCAACTGCTTTTCCTAATGTAATAGTTCACAGTACAATTATGGGGCGTTCTGGTTGCCTAGTGGTTTTGGATTGACTGCAAATATATAAAATATTGTGCATATTATAATATAAATATTTAAAAAGAGACAACAGACAAAATTATTTAATTAAATTTTAATTAGATAATTTCATAAAATACATTTTTGTCTAAAGCTCACACAAAGCTCATTCGACGTTTTTCTCTCATGTAGATGAACACAGATAGACGTTTTGACTCCTGACATGTAAACTCAGCTTGCTTCACATTTGCTGTTATTGGTGCTCAGAAACACAAAGAGACACTGACTATGTTGCCTCCAGGTAACAGAAGATGATCACAGGTTGGGGAGCTGACTCCCTTTGAAGTACGATGAAAGAGATACAGTAAGAACTGAACTGTGGAAATGTGTCCCAGTGGGGATGAGGACTGTTAATCACCACATAAGGCAGTGGTTCTCAAACTGTGGGGCGCGCCCCTCTAGTGGGGCGCGGAGGTATTGCAGGTGGGGCGCAGGGGGAAATGCAGAATTTTTTTTTTTCAAGAACTTTATTCATACCAGAAAACTTGTCGGTTTTCGGCGAAATTCGCCGTTTTGAATCAAAATATATCATCCACGTGAATCGTGTAGATCCATAGAGGTTTTTTTTGGGGGGGGGTCAACTGGCCAGCCAGCGTTTCTCAGATTGGAGTGAGACGAGGAGAAAAGGTGATGTCGTGATCTTCACAACAAAACATCTCTGATGTGTCGAGTCTTGGCCAATCAGCGTTAAGATGTCTACAGCGTTTTCCCCTCCGTTACAGTTTAAGTTACGTTATGTCCCGTTACCGTTCAGACTTGCTGGGTTAAGTTAACGTCCACTGCATGCGGAACTTCGTGGACTGTTAACGTTCGTCATTATCACGATTTAGGAGGAAAAAACGTAACGTGATGAAACATGCAGCCCCCCCCGTGTTCCGGTTCAGTTCACGCGGTCACTCATTAACGTTAAACCGGAACACCGGCGCATCAGGTTGCAGGTTGTTTGTTTTAACTCAAAGTAGAATGAGATGATTTCGCGGTGATAATAACTTGAAACATGAGGCCGAGATACTGATGAGATGATGAGGTCAAAGAGCTTCAGGGAGAGGAGGCTGTTTGTGTAGCGCAGCTTGACGCAGGGCTGAGCTGTGAAGGAGCTGGGCCTGGATAAAGGTGGAGGTCTAAACAGACGTGAGTACAGCTTCCTGCTGTCACAGTATTTTAAATACATTGATAAGGCAGGGTATGCTAAATGCAGCCTCTGCTCCAAGGAGATAAAGTACTCACATGGCCTCTCATCACACTGCCAGACACTGTTCACTGTGATGACCGCAGCCAGTGTACTAACAGTCCAAACAGTCCCACATGCAGCTATTATTATTATCACAGCTATTATTTTACTTTTAGAATGCTACATTTTAAAGCTCATATTTAAAATAAAATGCTCCTGGTATGTGTGAGTTATATGGGTCACACATATCTGCACTCATTTTATTTAGTTTTGCACAGGTTGCACGTTATTGTTGTTTTGAAAAGATATGCAGTGTAAAACTCAGTAAAGCTCTTTATTGCCAAATATTTGAACTTGTTTGTTTAGTTTTTCACAGGTTGCAGTTTATTGTTATTATCTTAGAAAGATATTCAGTGCAAAACAGGTTAATTGCAGCCACAATAAGCTATTTTCTGCCAAATATTAGTTATTTTTTGCACAGATTGAACTTTATTTGCATTGTTCTAACAAAGTGATTGCACATTGTATTTGTTTTTGTCTGATGGAGCAATCTGGTTTACTTGAAAATGATTGCAATTTTCTTTTTTCTATTATTTGAAAAAGCACAGATGGAGGAGTCACAAAATGTTGTTATTTCAATAAAAGTTCAACATGGACCATTTTGTTCCAATTTTTGGGGTGGTGGGGCATGAACATTTTTCTTCCTCCAAAGTGGGGCATGACAGAAAAAGTTTGAGAACCACTGACATAAGGCAATTCCTCCCTCCAGCTTTCCATCTATACGTTGCTTTAATTTATTATTTAAGAGCGGCAGCATGGATACAGATCACTTAAAATTCAGAGGAAATAGTAAAAAAATACATAGTGGCAATATCTTAATTAACCCACTGAGTAAATACTGCCGAGACTTTACCAAAATATAAACCTTAGTGAATTTTGTGACGAATGGTGAATGCTTTACTAAACTGATTTTGTACAACTAAAAAAGGATTGGGTTGGCGAGAAAAATATACACAATTATATTGGAAAAACATTTGTATGGCTGTTAATTATTTTCTCATGACTATTTTGTATTTCACACATCAACAAGCTATGAAGTGCAGGTATTTGTCACAGTAATTACAAGTGTTTGCTATTTCACGGTCCACGCAACATTCTGCCGGCACATTAAGAGTGTCAACACTGATTTCTGTTCCTGTTCCTGATACAACTCTGCAAATCACCTCCATTAACAAAGTGTTGATTGGCAGCTGGGCTCTAGAGTGGGATTACTGTGCCTCGGCTGTGACAATAAATATGCTTATTAAATAGTGGATGAGAACAGCCTCCGTTTAGCACATTCATTGACAGACTCTCGGGTGGGCAAGGACATTTTTACAAAACAAACTTAGTTAGGAGGCTTTTGTTTTTAATGTGCAATGTTTGCTTCTAATGACGATGATTCTTGAGGGTCATTAAAGGAAAATAAATGCTCCCTTTATGGGTCACACATGAAAATAACTTCCATTTACTGGGTTAAATGATTTGAAATAAATATGCTTAGTGCAGAAACGAATGCGTGTGATCCCAGTATACTAGATATATATCATGGGATATGGCTTGGTTTTAAATTTCCAAAGTTAACAAGACTAAGAGTCTTCAGCCATTCTAGCAGCTCTTTAAAGCTCTTCTTTGACACAGTGGTGATTTGAGCTGATAGAAAACCAACAGATGTATATACTGGATATATAACAGTATATCCAGTAAACATGCATATGTTTTGACTCTGCTTTGTCCAGCACCATGACATTCAAATGGCCGCGAGGTTGGTCGACTGGCTGCCCTCCATCAAAGACCCGTACATACTGTTTAACAGCTAAGAAAAGGGCACAGAGTGCTGATGGTACCCACCCAGAGAAACACGTGCTCAACATCGACAATGAGTGATGGTCTAACTGCTGATCTGCAGTTCAGCTTTTATGAATTTTAAAACAATCATAGCTCTTAATCGTTAGAGTGTACTGGTTGTACTGTCGTACAGCGTCCGTGAGTATCCACTGCTGTATCCTAAACCATGTGCATCAGTCCTGCACTGCTCTGTAAACACGTCCAATAACCAGGTCAAATGCCTTGTTCTTCTCATGCACAACAATTTAAACGCAAAGGATGTTGTTATCGAGGATCAAGTCCCTTCAAGCTATGTACGTTGAAAGAGCAGTTAACTTATGTTTACAGTTTGTTATTTGCATTGCATATGGTTATTATTGGTAACCTATTATAATTAGGCTGAGGTTCCCAAAAACAAATAAGTGCCTGAACAATACCACTCATTTACCACTCTGTTTTTATCCCCGAGCCATTTCCTTTGTAGCCCATTGACAAATGCCGTCCACATATCTCAGTCCACCATTGAAATAAAACTATATGTAACCTAATCCATAGTGAGAGTGTGGTGGGTACCTGCAAGACAAGACTAATGGCACGAAGGCAATAACATATGCTAAATTGAGAGTATACAGTATATTAGTTGTTTTTCTTCTCCATGACACCTCCATCTCTCTTTAATTTACCTTTTTTTATACAAAGATGTCAAGGGCTGTAAACTAATCACATTAATCCAGTAAATGACATAGCAAAGGTGTCTGTTTGATTTTGGTCTTAAAGACATGAATCTTTTGTGCTATTTTTTTCCTGAGAACCAGATCGAAGTTAAAGTACCACAGCTCCAATTTAGTGTGCAAGGCGGGGGTGCTTGCAAGAAAAACATTTAAAAATCAATAGTCAACAGCAAAGCAGTACAGGCCACGATGTCCTGACCTTAAGCCCCTAGTATTTATACATTTGAAGCCAAAAGGGAGATGACCCTGGTGACATCACAATGGAAGCCTCTACGTTATTTCCTCAGATTTTAAAATACATTATACAACTGTTTTCACAGGCTGTATTGTACACCCATAGCCTGTTTATAATAAGTGGACATAGATGCCGGGACAACATCCATTGGTTTGTGGACTGCAGTTTTGAAGCCTCTGAAAACACTCCGTGAAAGGTTTAAAGTTGTAAAACGAAAACACGGACAATTCCTAGCCGTGACAACACCGTGGTAGTATAGATAGCCCCGCCCTAAAGCTTTATCGTCAATTTTTACTAAATCAGAGCATAATTTACTAAATGAACATCATACTGTATTGAAGACTAGAAACTAGCAATTGAGACCATGAACTCATCTTCACAATGTTATACTGAGGTAATAAATCAAGTGAGAAGTAGAGTCATACTTCTATACAATCAGACCTATTATTGCAAC